GTGGCCTCTGCGAGCGGCAGAACTGAGGCGTCTTCAGGTCTTTGACAACCGTTGTCTCCGAACGATGACCCACATAGGCGGGTGCCGGGGAATCCGGAAACAGGTAGTTGGAGAACTAGTGTTCGGGGACCTTCATCGAAGGATGCGCCAATTACCAGAGGCTGTGGTATTTATGCCATCTATTGCGCACGCTGAATAGTCGTTTGCCCAAGGGATTGCTGTTTTCCGTCGTCGTTTGCTCAAGGGATTGCTGTTTTCCGTGCGCAGTCAGGGGGGAAGTGGCCAACCCTTGATCTTGCGAGGGGTATGAAAGAAATTACGAACATTTTGTCAGATGTCGGTTCCACTTGCATTCCAGGATAAGGTTCTCGTCATCCCTACTATGTCCGGTTGGAGACGCTGCGAGATGTGGCTGCTGATCGATGTCAGTGGCGTTATTGTTTTCAGTTTTTATCCAGATCGCGTGAATGAATATCTGCAGGCGTAGGCAACTTGGAATGATTGCATGAAGCCAGTATTAAGTCTCTTTCCCATCCGCTTATATTTTTCATCACACAATAAGGTATTCTGATAAATCGAATTCGTACGGCGGTAAATCACCACTTTTGAACACCGGTGTTAAGCTCTTGATCATGGGCGATGTGTCTAAAATGTTCGAAAAACCATTCGCGTTCGCCTAAATGTGCCCCAGCGTTTTGCCCCAAAATTGAAGCAAAAAGAATAGGTCCAGCTTTGGGCTAATATTTTCAAGGTAGTTGTACAACCATATGCAAATCAATTTGTTTTCCATGGGAGACTCAATTGAATCTCTCGTTTATGATGTCCTCCAACTGAATGTGCTGCACACAGGCCGCTTCACGACTCAGTTGGCACGATATTCGAGATATCGCAGTATATTTTCATAAAGGAAACTACCCACAAGGTTTCTGAAAACTCTTCGACATCCCACGACCGGTTTTACCCTTCTTGGGGCTCATCAGGTAGGCACAGTCCCCGAGTTTCCGCCAACCTTGTGTTATTCGTCTATGCGCAAAAAATTCAAGTATCTATCCGCTGCATGCTACTTTGTGTTAACGAAGTGTGACCTTTAAGAGTACGGGATGTCCGAGAACCAGAGAATTTTCAATGATGAACGGCGGATGTTCGTCACCTGAACAAACTATTCACTAACCCAACTTGACCACCATGCAAGTCAAATTCCTCAACGATGACGTCTGCAGTAGTACTTCTTCATCAATGGAAGGAGCAACGCTGAAAATTTCCAACCAACCTGGAGTCTTGCGCCATACCGAGGAGGTTCGTTTCAACATGGTTCAGACAGATATGCAATAATCTGGTCACCACGGGTCTTCGGTCTAGTACCAGTTGAACTGGTACTAGATCGCGAATTGCTCAGAACTGACAGCTGATCGTCAGTTCTGATCAACATGTATGCGTGCAGTTTCGGAGACGGATTCAGTGGTTGTGCAATTTCCGTATGCCTAATGACGCTGTCGAGGACCCATGATTGCACTCGTCATCCAATGCTGCTGTATCACAGTTGTTCACAAATGAATCGTCATTAGAACACAAATGAATCTTGTCACATCTGAAGGGCATAGACATGGGACCCATATGGAGAATCCTGGCTCAGCAATAAAGACTCAATACGTGGAAAGACTAATAATGTACGTGAGGTCGTTTTCTCGTCCTTCAGCTCACGTGCTGAACACGTGCAGAAGCATACTTTCGCATTCTTTTGGAAACGAAAAAAATATTGTGACGCATTTCTGGTGATGAGCAGAAAGAGTGGAACAGTGTGGAACAGTCCGTAAACCTATTTTGTGTCATGGAGTAAGATTATCTGTGTGTGTAGGGGTTATCTACTAATGAAACGCTAATGTATCTATCTCATTCATTCGCTGCCTTTCCAGGACTAACTGGTTTTGAGGACGCGCGTCTCCACGAACAAAGCAGTCATTGTCTGAATCGTGTGAGATCAACTTGTCTACGTCGATCGAAGTGCAGACAGACCATACATCCGTTCGGTGAGGAAGACAGAGAGTGAGAGAGAGAGCGCGCGATGGAAGAGCAGAAGCGGGAGCAGAGGTGGAGAGTTTTGCTAGTCCAGATAGTACATATCCGCCCAGTTCTGCCCTGCTGTGCGTACGTGTGTCAGCGCGACAACATCCCCGTTACTACTGGCAACCACCGATTGTATTGCATGCAGAGCGAAGCTGTTATTTGTTACGACCGAAACTGTGAAGGAATTCCGTTTCCTCATTGATTCTAAGGTAATAACTCTTATTCTGCGGATAGATATTCATGTAAACGTCTAGTCATAGGCTGACTAGAAACCCATGACCTCAGCGGGTGAACTGACGCAGTTACAAATAATGATGAGGTTTGAAAGCGGATTACGCATACGGATTCGTCACGTGGAGGCCCAAAGTGGGTCTCAGGTGAAACTACCACCCAAGAACAAGTATCGACCAGATCACGTGGTCGCTGACTTTCGGATGGGAAGTTAAGGTAGTTCTGATGTTCCACAAAATGGAATCGAAACACCCTATCCGTGGTTCTCGCCTCAATAAGCTAGGCCTCTTGGATGGTTTAGTATGCTTTGGGGTAGGCATGTAAGAAACCGTTTGATGCTACGATTGTCATCTGATATCCAAAACGAGAACCTTAGAAAAACCTGTTCAAGTAGCACACTTCGTTTGTAGAAGGCTACTATCATTTCGAAATTCATTCCTAAATCTTGCTCTCCTTTATTATTGAACTTTGGAAAACAATAGATGGATTAATAAGGGAGAAATATTTTGCTGTTGACAAAAAGGTTTCCTCTGGTCACGTGAGTAGGTTGCTACCACCCTGCTCTACGTCTACGTTCACAGTAGAATTTCGAAAAAACTTCGAACACGGCGATTCCTTCAAGAGCAACAAGCAAGCAGAGGTGCTGTTTTTTGGTCTCTCATGGTGAGAATGACCACGGGGTAAGTTGTGCCTGACTGTGGACTACATAGGTCGTGCCCTGTCTAAGAAGGGAACGTTGGTGAATCACGATTTGTATGAAGTTCCGAATACGGTTATCCCAACTCCAAGCCTGGAAAAAACTTCGACAATGCTGTTAGTTCAATTCAACTCAGTTACACAGCTATAAGCCGCGCACCAACGGTTTCGACTGCCATACGTTTGCTCCCCGAGGATAGGAAGAACGCGGGGAAAAGAAAGCAAAATTTGGGGTCGAGTCTGTTCACGGACGTGCTATGCGTTTGATCATGTGTGAACTGCACGAACAAACAGTGATGGCAGTAAGTTTGGCAAGACCACCAACTGTCAACAGCGTTAAACCTTGGTGTGACCCTTCCAATGATCCCCCTCAGGGGAGACATCAGTTCCTAACCTGGGCGAATTCGGTGGGAGCCTTGGATTGATCATGCGTTAGTCGATTCCAAAGTAAAGTTGATCAACGGGAAAAAGGTCCGCCAACATTCATCCACGCCGGCATCATCCACGGGCACATCATGAGGGTCATGTTTTCTGAGACTGTCCGGCGTACCTCATTGCACTAGGTTCGCTCTGTTTTGAAACACCAATGAGCAAACAGAGGTTCCTCTGGCCCAGGCAGTAGCAACGTCTGTAACCCATAAAGTAACATAGCTCGCGCCGTGACCTACCAACTACATCAATACCATGCCACAGCTATTGGATTTTGGTAAATGTTGACCTGACTTTCTCGATCCAGAAGATGACTTCATTTTCTTCCAGTCTACCGGGATGTTGCAGCTGAGTTACCTAACACACCAATGTTTCGATCCAAGGTAGTCATGGAGCAGAACTTTACTCGTCGCAGCTGCGGAGCGCAAGTCTAACCATGTGGCGATGTTTCTTAGAATAGTCTATGTTTCTGCAGGATCTGATCGTAGGACAACAATGTATTCAGCACTTCTCAGGTCTAAACTACCCTACATCATTTTGATTGCTGATCTGTTGAAATCACATTGGGAAGATTCAGGTGGGTTTGATGATAATGAAGTTGGAAGATACTCACCCTCAAACTTCCACAAGATTGATAGGTTCAACATCAGATTCACGAAGAATAGAATACGGTCATTGTTGCTTGCGGATGCGGTCCGGGGGAGACTGTCACAAACGAAACCCAACTTCATTCTCATGAATCTGACTTTCCCGAGGACGGACCGATTTGCTCAGGATGAGATCACGGAGCACCTTAAAGGATACGGCTACCATGGTTATGTGATCAAAACATTCTGTTTAGTCATCATTCTCTGTTCGTTATAGATGTTTGGTGACCCGTCGTTCTCTTTGACGGGTAGAAGGTGCAGTTTTATGCTTTAGCAATGACATCTCACGCTGATGCCGAAATGATGTTGACATATCACGTAGACCTGTACGGTTTTCCCATAGTTCGAGCTGATGAGCGCCAGGTGAAATACTATTCGCACTGATTCCGCTGTTCAAGATGAAATAAAGCAACTGTCAATCTCTTTTGAAGCAGATTATTTCGCTAACACTCGCATTATTCGGACTATTTGACTGAATTACCTGAAGTAAGCGATGGATTTTGTGAAAGCCTGCCTTAGTGGTCGTTGGCTTGTTCGCTGAGCTGGGCAGTTTGATTGGTGGTTGGTGCACAACCAGCAACCCACCGCTACGCACTACTACGCTCCCCAATAACGCACCGATGATGTCACCTCGATTGGTGATGAAACGTTTGCAATCAAATTGCCCAGCTCACCGAACAAGCCAACGACCACCATCTACGCTACCTGAGCTACCAACATTTTCCTCTATAGAGAGCTCGTCTTGCGTCCCAGGCTTTCACTATTTGCCAGTCACATAAGTGGAGTCAAGATGTGCACTCCAGAAGGAAGGACACTCTTCAAAAAACCTCTCACCGCTAGCTGCTTCTTGCATTTCCAGGGTGGATTCATCACGAACAAATGGGAATTTAGGGCCAAAATGTTATCTCATGTCTATTCCCAATTGTGGGAGAATTATCTTTCAAATGGGCTCAGATAAGAAGACAGTGATTTGGAATGAAGTTCGGTTTGAAAACGAGCTTTTATTCGAGGGCCACTTATTTGCAACAGGGAAGATGGACTAGCTGGTCCTCTTCCCAAAAACGACCTTGAACCAGGTTGCTCCTTATTGGGCAACCAATAAATTCTAATTGAACCAGTCCACAGGAGCGCGCGAACGTGCAGAAGTCCAATAAGCGGCATCAGGAACCGGGTGCAACTTCCACGCCATGCCATAAATATCATCAGGAGCTCTAGAAACCTAAGGATTGGAGCGCGATTAATCTCGGTTCTTCTTGAGGGTGTGACGGGACACAGAAAAGGTAGTTGCAGCAAGCGATGCCCATTGCTCAAGTCAAAAGCAGTCAGATGGAACATATCCTTTGAATGTACACCTGGGGCTTCTTCTTCCTGCTAGGCAGAAGAATGGTCGTGGAATATCGATTAGGCAGCCGACAGCTCAATAAATCAGGAGGGCTTACCTGGACAGGCTCTGAGTGAAAGTCGGCTATGTTCTCATTTAGTTATAACACATTATAACTAGGTTCCATTTATGAGCAGTACGCTGCCCGTACTGTGTGAGTCTATTGTTGTGGTTTTCATTGTTTCAGGTCAGGATAAGGTGACAGTGCACTTTTAATTAATGGGTACTGTTGTATGATGCTGGTTACAGAGCAGTTGCATAGCGGTTACCCGCTTCCTGGTAACACTGTGTTGATGCTATAGTTTATACTTTCACTCATCAAGCGTAGTTAGAGAAGAAGTCAAGGTGGGTGTGGCCAGAAAAGCCTGAACACCAAAATATGGCCGACTAACGTTCGAAAGCAGAGACATCACTGGTAGAGATGAGTTCTTGTTCGAGGTAGAAGAACCGTGGATCTACGATTTAGTAAACATTCATGGCTCAGAGAAAGTGGAATCAGGATAACAGGGTCTCCATTGTTCCATGGCGAGCTGCAAAATTCTACACTTGATCACCGCGGTTCGCATACTGTGGGCAAGGCGATGTTCTAGGCTATCTCAAACTTTGGGAGTAAACGAATGCACCACTTTAGACGCTGTTCTAATTTCAGTGTGGCTTCAGACTTAACTGTATCTGTCGAGATACAGTACAACTTCGTATAGCATTCTCTTTTGCATCGATCAATCCTGTGTCATCTTCATCTTAAGGTGACTGAATTTGTCTTTTAATGAGTCATCGATATGGTAACAAAGCTGAGTACCTTCCCCCCAGGCAGGCAGATTTTGCCTAACTTCTCCCTTTTCTCACAGTAATAATAATAATAATTGTTCAGCTGTAGTACCCTTTCGGTGCCTAGCTGCCATGCCATCCGAAAGAAGCACGAGGGCTGAGATACTGCCAGGTTGCCCAAGCCTAGACAGGGGAAGTCGAGAGGCGGAGGTAGGGTTCGAACCACGGACCTTCCGGTTAGGTTAGTAAATCTCTAACCACTTGCTCACAGTATGTTATGTCAACAAAATAGCGTCAAGCTACAATATAGCTAACCAAGTTTCCCACTTTGGATAAAACGCCTTCGACTGTCAAAAGTGACGCGTCTACTCTGTTATGTTTTCTTTGCGTCAAGCTCAGTCATTCTGGCTCCCTGTTGTTTTGATTCAAGGTGGTGACCAAGTGACAGTAACCATGTTCTGACACTACATCCGGTATTCAGAAGATCGATTAATGAGGTAAGAGCTTCAGGGCAGCGTTCTTCAAAATCAGGGGGCAAAAGCAATGGTTCTTTCTCGTTGCCTGATGGATAGTGACGGACTCGCAGACAACGCAGTTAGCCATTAGCTACTACCATATCTGCTCTCCATTGGGAGGAATTGGGGGTCTAAACAGAAACAACTCACACAGAGAGACGCAAGTAACTTTGATCGTAGGAACTACGTGTCCATTATTTACGCTCAATTATCATATGATTATATATATCCCTACATCGGAAAACAAGCCTGCCTGCAGACAACATTGCGGTGATGCTGTCTTCCGCTGTGCTTCCACACCATAATGTTCTCATTTCGCGTACAAATGTCTACACTTTATATCTGTGTTCATTGTCCCCAATAATCTACGCGTATGTCTGTTTGATAGGTCCATCCGTGCAGATGCCCTCCACAGATCAAATACTATACTTTCCACTTTATCCGTGTTTGCTGAATGAAATCAATGATCCGATAAATTTTGATTCAAATCACCTGTCCTAATACCATCGGGTACTGGTTTCCGTGACACAGACACTTTCTCTAAAGAAAGATTTGAAACAAACTGCGCTGGGTAGGACGTGGTTGCTGCTGAACTTCAGTCTACTGCGCGCTTCATCCGATTCGGACTGATCAAATCCGCGGGGCCTGGAAATTTCACGAGTGCAGTAATAAACTGAGAAAAAGCAGAACTTCCCCTTGCCTGCACGATCGATTCGTATTGCATTACAACTGTCATCCAATCGTTTTCACACTTATGGTTTATCGGCCGTCAGATTGAAATCGCAACCGATGTCTCCTAACCGCGGACATTTCCTTCACTCGTTCGTTCCAAATGGGTAATAAATCACTAGAACTGAATTCGACTGACTACTTGTCAAAACACATCTGTGATTCAGGCAATAAAGATTCCAGTATTCCATACATACATTCGTTTGTGAAATTCCGTATTCTCAATCAACCAGGTTCATTCATTCCTGCGTTAAAGCTTTCCTATTAGAACCAGGATCATCGTGACTGTGTACAATATTTTTTTTAAAAAAGAAATACCATACACTGACTGCACACTGACAGATGCAGTTAAGTCTGAAGTCACACTGAAATTGGAACAGCGCCTAAAGTGGTGTATTCGTTTACTCCCAAAGTTTGAGATAGCTTAAAACATCGCCTTACCCACCAGAAAAGAGACAGTATGTGAACCGCGGTGTTCAAGTGTGATACTATTGTTCCGTTTTTGGGATAGTGTAGACCCTATTATCCTGATTCCACTTTCTCTGAGCCATGAATGATTATTAAATCGTAGATCCGGGGTTCTTCTACCTCCTCCCTTCAAACAAGAAACCATTTCCACCAGTGATGTCTCTGCTTTTGAACGTTAATCAACCCTTTCGGTGCCCAGCTGCAATGTTGCCCGAAAGAATCAGGAGAGCTGAGAGCTAGGTTGCCCAAGCATAGACAGAAAGCACTTGAGATGCGGAGGATGGGTTCGAACCACGGTTGTTCCGGTCAGTCAGTCCGCGACTTAGCCACTGAGCCACTTGGGCTCATCAGATTGCATAACAAACGACTGTCGGAACAAACTTTTTTGCCGAGCTAAGCTGTAGAGGCATGGTCCGGCTATAGAGAGGGTCACTGTCAGATACGATACCGTTATCTTGCCATGGGTAATAAACGAAAGCGGGTCAAGGCATATCAAATGACAAGGTACTTGTTCAACCACTGCCACATAGTTAAATATCTATTTCATCTTTACATTATCATAGAACCGTGCCGAACTGTGTGTGTGTGTCTCATACATAGCCATACCTGGCTCTGTGTGGTTAACTCGTTCCAGAAGACGCAGCAAATTCTGACCGTTCATGACTATCGAGTTGATGAGAGACCTCCGATAGGTAGTAACATTCTGTGCATCCTTACGTGACAGATTGGAATGAACAAGTCAACCGAGGAGGCTAGGTTTCACGGACAGAACTGAACAGAGTCAATCCCTGGAAGTATCGAACCCTACTCGAAAACTTACCAGCCTGATCACCTGAAGTGGTAGCGATGCGGAAAATGGAATTAACCAATCTCCGTGTTCAATGAACTGCGCCTCTGCGTGCTTGACCTGTCGAGCAAGTGCGGCCAAACTGCGCGCTTTTAATATCTCAGTAGATAGCAGTGTCTAGCCACAATGTGACCGGGAGTGCAAGTGTACCGGAAAGCAAACAAGGTGAATGAAAGTGGCACCGATAATGAAACTTTGTGAGTACAGGTAGAAATGTCGAAGGAGCGTAACTCCTACAAGTTAATCCGCCTAACTACTACCTACCGCACTTTCACTGATGATTTGGAGGGATGGCGTAAACAGTTCCGCATTGGCGGTGGTAGCTGATATAGTTGATGCGTAAACACGGGGTTGTCAGTGCACTTTGAATTGGAGAGATTGTTTCAGGGTAGTCATGCATTGAAGGCAACAGCTTGGATGCATGAAAGCCATCGAGGGCGCGACTGAGCCATGTTTGGCAGTGTCTCTAATATGGCCCCCCTCGGGGTCCTCATCCAGGGAGACAGCAATGGCCAGCGCAGCTGAGTTTGCTGGTAATGGCTACCACACATCGATGCGAAGTCCTTATTTGACATCCCTTGACTCGTTTCACCTCTTCGCATGGTTGTGCCAAAAGAGTCCTTCGAGGAACTCGGTTGGTCGAATGGCGTACGGAGCACGTGGCCCAGCCAACGCAGCCTATCGAGTGAGATCAGTTCATCTGATCACTGCGTCGCTGTTCCACAATCCGTAGGAGAGTGAAAATGTGACCGATGCAGGACGGGACCCAGCTTGCTTGTCACGGATCTGCTTCGCTCTCTGTTCAGTCAACCTTCGACGGATAAAACCAGAAAGCACCTCCAATGCCAAACTGGTCCTCGCACAGTGTTCGTGTAGCCTTTCTGAAGGTAAGAATAAGTGCCCATGTGCCTAATTCTACCGGAACCTTCTCGTTGTTTCAAATAGCAGAATATAAACCGTTCGGTTCCGGTGTCTTTACCCGTTGCAATGAAGATAGCTCGTACTTTATTTCTTCTTCTGATTGGTGTTTATGATGTACATTCTACCCGCCCGCATTCGCTGTTGTCCAGCTAAACTATTCTTTGAAATGTTCAGCCCATTCTTCAAGAACTCCTGAAACGTCTTTGTTTATTCATCGTCTCTCCGATAGTCGCTTTCCTCTGATTAGTCCACAGTAGTGAGTGAAATAGGGATCTGCTGTTTCTTTCTCCATCTTCTAATCTTTCGACGTCCACACTCGGTCTTTCCTCAGGCTTTTCACGGTTTGAGAGAGATTTTCGTGCTCCGCCGTACTCGTTGCCCGCTGGTATGGATCCACTAGCCACAATCACGACCAGCAATCTCGACAATATCCAGCGGTCACGGTCGGATATTGGACGCACAGCAATGAACGCCGCTAGTATAGCCACTTTTACATATTTCCAAGCTCAATCAACGTATTTGTTGCAAGTATTGTGTTGGTACTGACTTGTAAAATCCGGGAGCTCGAACTATCTTACTATTGGAGTCAAGTGCTGCGCCTCAAAAGAAGCGACCGTCCTGAATTATGGCTCCCAACCGGTAGCCAAGTGATCCACGGCTGATTTGCACTTTATGGACGCCAGTTTGCGCGATTGGAGCATTTTGTGCTTGAAATTCATGCTGACCAGGAACAGCTGCTGGTCGGTACACAACTGAAGGAGTCGCTCTCTGTTATCTGCGCGGCGAGTGCCAACTCCGAATCGGTTGCCCAGATGTGGTTCCTTCTTGCCTGACGAATGGGCTCGAACAAACCCCGATAGAAGTCAACCTTTTAAGCATTTAGCGCTGGGACTTAGTACGACTCCCACACCCTATATCCTACGAATCGTCGCCTCTGAATCACTGGACAAACGGAGAGTGAAATGTGAAAAGGCTTAGTTCGCCCTGGACAGTCTACAATGCACTATCATGTTTGAGTCCTGTATGCGTGTTCCGCAGATACCGCAGTTATCTACTTCCGGAGGGCATAAGGTCAGTTCAAGCCTGCTTGCCAGTTTTCTCCTAGCCTCCGACTCAAAAGTCTGACCCAGGGGGTGGCGGGCAATAGGTCTTAGTTGGGGGAACCTGCCTGGCCCCCATAACCTGCTCGGGAAATAACACATAGACATCCCACTCCTAATGCAGCCACTCACAGCATCTGGGCTCCTAGACAACCTCGTTTACTGAAAAAAGAGACGTTCGGTTTCGATAACCGAGTCAGTTAACTGGTAAAGAGTCCCCTGAAAAAATGTATTATTGAGTCAAATGAATATCATCGCAAGGCAAAGAACAATAAAGTCTGGACACTAAGTGTCCTGAAAAGTTTGCTAGCCGATACTCTGTGATTGTTTCATCGTCAACAGATCACCAGTAAATTTCAGCTGCTCAATGGTAGAAGTATGCGCTTACCGTGTGCCTCAAACCACATACTCTCCGGAAATCCTCACTCAAAAATTACAATCCCTATACTGACAAGCATTATTCTGAATCAGGATTATTCAACCTTTATCGCTCTACCGTACCCGGCTTTCAACTTTTCCATTCAAGCAAAAGAATGAGCAAATTTGAAACGACAAGTGTTAGTGACACCAAAATAGACAGATTAGAAAGTGCAGGTTGGCCTGAGTGGTCATCTAAGGTCGCTGGCATCACTTTTCCATTTTGCATGAGTTTGTGACAAACAAACTGTAGAACTTTTTTTAGGCAGTTCCACAACCCTTTTGAGTTACGTAATCGCCTTACAACTCCTTCAAGTTGAAACGCTCCCGGAGGGGCGATATCGCCCGGTTGGATACCGCTGTTCTCAACGAACCAATGAATGCGGTTGGTTCATATACAAGAGAAGAAGTTCTGGTTGGACTGCAGATCAGGTGCGCTTACGTATTTCAATCTTTCACAGAACCTATTGTAGAATCCTTGCAGGGATTTAGGCGTAGCATGCATTCACGATCAGTAACTCTCCTCTATGTACCGCAAACATTGATTTCGGGAGACTTTCATGCTCGGTAAAACCCGAGGTTGACAAGGTTCCGGACTTGCTCTCAAAAGTAACCACTTTTCAGGATTATTTCCATACGGAGTTTATTCTTTCGATAGAACACTCTTGTATGTCTCTCTTTTTAAAGAAGGCATCGTTTATCCCTCATTTGAGATGCAAAGTACTCATTTAGGGGGGTACTTTGACCATTTACACCGTTTATTGTGGAGACATTAGATGAGGCAACAGGATGCCTGTTCACTTCCGTTACATGCGCAAGCTTTCGTTTGGTCTTACTTTTGTTATTTTACCGGCAAACAATACACGTCATCCAGTAGTAAACTGAACGAGCTTCTTAAAACACGGGTCGAATTCAAACCATCAATCTCTCGTTAACACAGAATCAAATCACTTTCACACCACTCAGCGTCCACCTCAATTCAATTCCTCTTTACGTTTGGACACAACTAGCAGGTGGGTGCAGATCAGGCTTACCTTGATAGGTAAGTTGTAAGTGAATCTGGAGTTCTAGCTTCTTATGGCAACATAACGACGGCTCTACACAGACAGCATTGATTCACTGATCACCATCCACCCAACATTGCTCTTAATGTGAAGCCGCTGTCACGTGTTCACTTTTACAACCATCTTTCAGACTCACGATCCACTAATTAGCTACCGTTCGGACAACAGAGTGTTTTCGACAAATCGCATCCAAGTTCACACGACCCAACTGATAGCTGATCATGCGAGCGCAAAACGTCACAGCCAACTGTTCCTACTTGTCTAAAGAAATAACACCAGTCTCATCATAGCCTACACATAGGAGAAAGCCGTATGTAGAAAAAGTCAGTTCGGCACCCTGGTACATCCGGAGTTCCAACATTGTTCGGTTATANTCGGCGCCTAGCTGCATGCCACATAAAGGAAACAAGAAGGCCGAGATACTTCCAGGTTGCTCAAACTTAGACATAAGAAGTCGAGATACAGAGGCAGGGTTCGAACCACGAACCTTCCGGTAATGAAATTCGCGCTCTAACCACCGATCCATTCCGCTCAACCATCATCATCCGACCAGGCAAAGGTGTCCACCGAAGCTGGTAGCTGGTGATATTGGGAGTTCACTTTGGGTTAAACCAGGTGATCATGCCGAAACCGGAGCATCTCGGCTGGTGGAAATGTACCGTAGAACGCGACGATATCGTCAAAAAATAGCGCAGAAAATGACAAAAACAGGTGAAATGAATGGCTGAAATTGTCACGGGCTTATCTGAAGGCAAATGTAGTAGAATACCAGAGAACGTATCTAGAAATTTCGCTCCCTTTCTGAGAATGATCACTGGTTGGTTCGTTTAACCGATAAAGGAGGGGGGCATTTTTCCAACTTTCGAAACATGGCTACTCGTTAGTAAGTTTCCTATCATTCTGTACTTTTGAGTGGAAAGATTTACATAGGTTGGAAAAGTGACCGAGTAATAATTTGATAAGTTAAGCTCGAAATCCCCAATCATCGGCATCTTTTGTGAAAACGAACAGCATTGTTAAAGCAAAGTTGGAATATTCCTGAAAATATGAATTTCGTACAATCGAACGGGCACTGTACGGGACGAGATGGCCCAAGTGGTTGGAGCGCAGATTTGCTGACCGGAGGGTCTGCGGTTCGAACCCGACCCCTGCCTCTCGACTTCCCCTGTCTAGGCTTGGGCTACCTGGAAGTACCTCAGCCCTCGTGCAACCTTCGGGTAGCATGGCACCTAGGCACCGGAAGGGCGTTACAGTTGAATGATTATAGATTAGATTAGTATGGTATCAATAATAATGATGGAGATGTCCGACAACAAATCAGACGATAGAAAGAACTTGGAATGATCGTTAGGGATTGACTACATACCAAGCCGTATGGCCATGACGAAACTGCCATATAGTTGTGGCCCAGCCGACGGAGGCTCAGGAAGAACACTTAAAAACCGGTTGACATCCATTCCTTTCGGTCAGATTCCAAGTGTTAAACCACGTACACTGAGATCACAGAAGTTCTGAATACCGCATCTGCGTCCATCAATGATGAGGGCGAGCAGACGACGGATAAGTGACAAATCGAAGCGTAAATAGGCGCCGTAGTGACTCCAAGCTACGCGAACTTTAGCCTCTCAAGATTACATATACTAACGAGAAACGTCATAGAGTCCGTGAGAAGCTTGTAAGCTTTGGGAACGGAGTTTCAGTCAGAAGGTTGCTCATCTGAAACAGGCTGGTTAGTGTGCACCGGGATGAAATGACTGATTTTCATTTAGAGGAATTTCAGAAAACAGGGATGTAAACTAATACACATAGTGGACAGCAATCGCGGTGTTTGCTTTTTTTCTATCAAAAGGGGATAGATTATCGGGTTTGTGTTTGATGTTACCTATACGAACGTTTAG